CTTCCTCCCTCCCTCCCTGCCTCCCTTCCTCCCTCCCTCCCTGCCTCCCTTCCACTCTCTCTGAAAAGCGATAGGAAAAATATCCTCAGGTGAAGATTAAAACAAAAAAACCAAAATAGCATAATTTCTATTCTGAATTGTTTCTGCATTTCTACAGTCCAAGTTGTAAAGCAGTCACTGTGATATTTATGATATTCCCATAACATAAATATCGTGTTAGGGGAACGCCATCGCTTTTTTAAACAGGTAAAAACGCCTTCCCACGCACTGTAGGGCTTTCTCAGACCACTACATGCCCGTCAGCCTCACGCGGTCCGCTGGCTGTGTTGAAACATGCTTTTGTTTTTAAAGCAAGTCAAGCTTTTTCTTTGCATTTTTGTTTTCTACATTCAAATATTCTCCCCCTGGCACTTTTCACATAATAGTTCACTTTTTTCTTCAGGACGAGATAAAATGTTACTTAAGCCCAGACTTAGAAAAAGGGCAGACGTATTAGAGATTCAAGGAGAGAAGACTTTTCTTCTCTCCTTGTGGTTTGGAACATTTCTAGGACATATGATTGTTTACTATATTATTTATTCATATTTATGTTAATTAACTATTGCTGAATAATGTTAAACCCCAAAACTCAGGGCTAAAGAAGAAAGTGATTTATATCCAACGTGTGTGCGCCTGCAAGCTAGCTGAGTGTCAGCTGGCCTCGGGCGGCGTTTGTTCCCTGCCTCTGTTTCTCCCTGGTGCGTCCCATCAGGCGTCTGCCCGTTTACCAGGTAGTTCTGAGGCAGGCTGGGCATCCTGAACGGGGACAGCTCTGCCCACGGGCCTCATCTTCCTGCTGGGACCAGTGGACTAGCTGTGGCATGTGCTTATACAAAGTCTCATGAAACCCACACCCAAACAGATGTAGGACCGTTGCTTTCAGATCGTCCTATTACCAGAGTAGGCAGAAGGCCACCCCTGATGCGGGAGAGCCCTGCCACATTGCATGAGCCCGAGAAGGAAGAGTCGTGGCCAGTAATGCAACCTCCCTCCAGTTTATTTCATTTCTCACCCTGTGACTAAAAAAGCATGCTAGGTGATGGACATGCAATGGTGATTAATTGAAATGTTTTGTGTTTCATTTTATATTCATCTTCAAACCTCGAGCTATAGTGAAACTCTAATATAAATTAGTCTCTGACATCTTCTGTCCTAAAAGTTTATACATGTAGCAACAAGAAATTTTATTATGCATTTAATTTTTCTTCCAATGTACTATAGATTTCCCAGATTTCTCCTTTATTAATTACTGTATTTCTATTATCTACTATTCTATTCATGGAATTTGGTAGGTTTCTGGTTTTTTTAATTAGTAATTCAACTAATCATAGCATTAAGGACAAACTGAGATAAAGAAAAATAATAGATGTCAGTCCTATGCAAATATGAAGTTGCCAGTCAGATCTTATGAGCCAAATATATAATTTAAATATATATTTAAGTATTTGAATATATTTAATTTAATTTCCCCATTGTTTCAGTTTTGTATTTTTTATATTATAACATCAAGTAAAAAATATGTATCTGTTTTCTTATTTAGATACTTCATTGACTACAATGCTGAAGATGACAGATTTTTCAATATTGATGCCAACACTGGATCTATTAAGACTACAAAGGTTCTTGATAGAGAAGAAACTCCGTGGTACAACATCACAGTTGCTGCTTCAGAAAATGGTAAATTTGACTTTATGTATCATAGGAAAAGATGTCACTTGTACATGAAGATTCATACTGAGATTTTCTCATAAGCAGGTCTCTTACCATTTTTATTTTTATTTTTTATGCCAGGATCTAAGAGAGTGCACAGAATGTATCAGATACAGTTTTACTCATTGACAGACACAGTGAATAAATCATATATATTTTCCTTTACTTTAATCCTGGCATAGTGGTGAAAAATTGACATCATGGACACTTACTCCTCATGCCTGAGTCAAAGTATTTGGTTCTCCTACTTGGGACACTTCCTCCGTCATGTACTTATGCCTTCCCTGAAACTAAGTTATCTAGGGGCTGCAAGAATGGTACTTCACTTACAACAGTTTAGAAGAAAAAGAAACAAAAATTGGTCATTGTTCTTCTTTTTTTTTTTTTTTTTTAATATATCTTTATTGACTTCAGAGAGAGGAAAGGAGAGGGAGAGAGAGAGAGATAGAAACATCAATGATGAGAGAGTCATTGATCGAGCCCTTAACCTGGGCATGTGCCCTGACCGGGAATCGAACCCCAATTGCCTGGATCCTAGGTCAACGCTCAACCGTTGAGCCACACCCTGCCAGGCGGTCATTGTTCTTGAATAATTTCATCCATGTAACTCCATCCTCAAGCTTTGATTAACATCTAGAAAACTTACAGTAAAATAATAACTTTTGGAATTTCAACAGGCAGGCCTACCCCCTCTTTGAAAGTATATGAGATATAGCTGAGGAAGACTCTTGTTCCTTTCCATTCAGAATAATGCACTGTGGTTAACTCCTAAGTTCAGAAAAAAGAAAAAAACCCACAGACATAAATATCAATAATTATCTGTGAGTTTAAAAAGTTGTATATGACTGTGTTCAAATGAAGTTAGGATAAAACTAAGAAAATGGATCTACTATCATCACAATAGTCTTTCTTTACATATTAAGTGATAAACCAAAGTCTAGATTACCCCAAGTCTAGAATTGTTTGCAGAAATTATGTATGCATTTAGAAAAGATTTCTATGTACTCATGATAGAACTATACACATATTAAAAATTAACTTCACATTAGAAAAATGTGCTATGGAACATGAAATTATGCTCTCTTTTTCCTTTGCCCTCAGAGGGTACATGTGCCCCATCCTAGGAAGCCACTAATTAGATTCTGTTTCTCTAGATCAGCAGTTTTCAACCTTTTTCATCTCACAGCCCACGTCAACTAGTTACTAAAATTCTACAGCACACCAAAAAATATATTGCATTTTTTGCCGATCTGACAGGAAAAAAAAAACAGGCATAATTTTTATTCATTCACACCAGAAGGCCATTGTTGTGTTGACTGTTGTCATTTTTCTATTTGACAATCTAAGGGAAAATAGATCAGTGCCCCTGACTAAATAGTCAGGTATTACATGTTTTAAAAATTTTTGGCACACCAGTTGAAAATCACTGCTCTAGATGTTTTAGGCTGTTCAGGCTACTATAACAAAATAACATAAGCTAGGTTCTTTAAATGACAGATACTTATTTCTAACAGTCCTGGAGGCTGGGAAGGCCAAGATCAAGATGCTGTCACATGCAGTGTCTGGTGGGTCCCTGTTTATCCATGGCTGCCTTCTAGTGGTATCCTCACAAGGCAAAAGAGCAAGGAAGTTGTCTGAGGTCTCTACTATAGGAGCATTAAACTCATTAATGAGGCCTCCACCCATATTACCTAATCACTTTTCAAAGGCACCACCTCCTAATACCATCAATTGGGGATTAGGTTTCAACATACGAATTTTTAGGGGACATAAACATGCAGAATAAAGCAATACATTTACCTGTTATTGGCATTTCATATAAAAGAATTATATCATATGTGGTCCTTTGTTATTACTGGCTTATTTCACTTAGCATAAAGTTTTTGAAGTTCATCCACATCATAACATGTGCTATTAATTCATTCTTTCTTATTGCTCAAAAAAACTTTTTCCATTGTATAGATATATCACATTTTATTTATCCATTCATCACTTAGTAGCCATTTGGGTTGTTTCCACCTTTTGCTTAATATGATTAATATTGCTATGACTATTAATGAGAAAGTTTTTGTATAGACATGTCTTAAATTCTCTTGGGACTATATCTAGGAGTGAGATATAGGAATTATATTTAACTATCTGATGAACTCAACTGCCAGTCTGTTTTCCAAAGTGGCCATATTTTCATTCCCAACAGCAAAATAGTTCAATTTCTCTATATTGTTACCAATATTTATTATTATGTAGCTTTTTTTATTATAATCATTCTAGTGGGTGTAGGTGATAGCTCATTGTGGCTTATACACTTTTATAATGTCCTTTGGGACAAATCTATAATTGTACTATGTTAGTCTTTTTATTCTACCTTTCATGTTTTGCCTCTGCAATATTAGCTTGAGTGGCTTCCATTTAGATTTTTTTTCCAACATAATATTTCTTTTGAAAATAAACATTCACTAATTACTTTTAAATGAGTGTTATAAAGCATACATGAGTGGGTTCAATTATGATCCTTTGGTTAATTTTCATTTTCAAAATAATCACAATAGGTATAGAATTGCATGTTTTACATCACCTGAGAACAATTCAATGACTGTTTAATGCTAAGAGCTCATTAAAAATTAGTTGAGCCCGGCTGGTGTGGCTCAGCTGTTGAGCATCAACCTATGATCCAGGGGAACGGGGTTCGATTCTGGGTCAGGGCACATGCCCAGGTTTCGGACTCAATCCCCAGTTGGGGGCATGCAGGAGGCAGCTAATCAATGACTCTCATCACTCATGTTTCTCTCTTTCTCCCTCCCTCTCTCTTCCTCTCTCTGAAATCAATAGACATATTTTTTTAATTAGTTGAAAATATAAAGGAATAAATGGATTAATCCAAGAAGAGGCGATGGAAATATTATAAAGAGCAAAATGATTGCACAGTTCTTTTGGAACAGGCTCCATGAGAAGGGAGAATTCTTGAAGAGGATGCTTGTGTTTGTCAGAAACAATGGGAACTTATTATATAATAACTTCAAGTCCGACACCAGTAGTGTTTTGATCAGAAACCATACTTGAGATTGCTCTGAATCTCACCTCAGTCCAAATAATACTTACATCAAGTAGAAACTAATTTATGATTATATATAAGTTCATGTATATCATGAAAATTGTATTATGTGCAATCATTACCAAAGAAAATGCTCATTTTTACTGAAGTAATGCCTTAAATATGTACTTACTAAGGCGTTTTGTTGTTTTTTGTTTGTTTGTTTTAGCTGTTTGCTGGTACATATCTACTAAGTAAAAGAGTATAGTAAATTGTAATATCCTGAATTTTATAGATGGTAATAAAGCCTTAGAGGCAGCTCAGTGAGCAATACTAAATGTAATTTAATCCTAATCATAAACAAGTATATAGAATGAGCCGTAGTTAAGATTTTATAGCCGCATTGTGCGAAACTGTGTTTAGAAAACTGCACACTTATGCACTGATAACTTGGCCTAAGTGCCTGTTAAATATCGTTGAAGTCTCTTCGATGTACAATTGTTTTTAAATCTCAGCCTCAACATCAGCCACATTATCAATGTCTTTGCTAGTGTATTCTGTTTTGGAAGCTCATTTGAAAGGCAGCTTTAGGTTCACAGCGCAGTTGAGGGGAAGGTACAGAGATTTCCCACACACCCTCTGCCCCTACGCAGCTTAGCATCCTCTCCTGTCAGTATCCCCCAGCAGGAGGGCACATTTGTTAAAACTGATACACCTACATGGACACATCATAATCCCCCAAAGTCTGTAGTTTAATTTAGTGTTAACCCTTGCTATTCTGTGAGTTTGGACACATGTATAATATAATGGCATTTATTCATCATCATAGTACCACGCAGGGTATTTTCACTGCACTAGAAATCCTCTGTGCTCTGCCTATTAGTCTCTCTCTACCCCAACCCCAGGTAACCACTGAGCTTTTTATTGGTCTCATAATTTTGCCTTTTACAGAAGATCATATAGTTGGAAACATATAGTATGTAGCCTTTACAAATTGAATAGTTTTACTTAGTTATATACATTTAAGGTTCCTCCATGTCTTTTCATGGCTCGATAGCTTAATTCTTCTTAGCACTCAACAATATTCCCAAGCCTGATGTACCAGTTGATTCATTTACCTACTGAAGGACATTTTGGTAACTTCCAAGTTTGGGCATTGATGAATAAAGCTGCAGTAAACATCCATGGGTAGGTTGTTTTGTGGAAAGAAGCATCAGACTCCTTTGTACGCAGGAATACAATTGCTCGGTTATACAGGCAGAGTGTGTTCAGCTCTGTAAGCAACAGACAGTCTTCCAAAGTGGCTTTTTCCTTTTGCATTCCCACCGGCAATGAATGGGGGTTCCTGTTGCTCTGCACCCTTGCCAGCATTTGGTCTTGTCAGTGTTGTTGAAAACAGGGGACTCTAATAGGGGCCAGTCTAATGAGTATGGAGTGGTATCTTCTGGTTTTAATTTGCGTGTCCCTTATGATATGCATGTGGAAGATGTCTCAGTGTGCTTATTTGTCATCTCTGTTTTCTTTGGGGAGACCCACTCACATTGGAGAGAACAATTTCCTCTGTCCGGTGGTTTATCAATTTAAATGTTAATTTTACTCAAAAAGACCCTCACAGAAACACAGAGAATAATGTTTCACCCAATATCTGGGCACCTCCGCATTGGAAACTGGCTTTGACCCAGTATCCCAGGTTTAATCAGGCTGCCTAGGTGACGCCCATGCACGCTCAAGTTTGAGGACCACTGACCTATGTGATGATCATGTCAGTGAAGTGCACAAACCATAGTTTCTGATCACGATATGGCCTGTGCTTTGCTCTATTGAGTGCTAATCCGGGCATGCATGTGCGCACGCAGACTTGTCCCGACTGCCTCAGAGGTGGACCCCGCAGAGGACGTTTGTGGCTTTCATTCTAAGGCTTGGCCCTCTCGATCTTCAGCTTAATCTTCTGAAAAACGTATATCACATCCTAGTCACGGGTCCTCAAACAGGCTGCGTTGTCTCGGTAATTTTGTAACCCTTTCCTCTCTCAATGCCCTCTGCTCATTTTCTGCTTTACAAGCAGCTCTTTTAAGAACTATTTCAAATCTCACCACATCCGTGAAACCTTTCTCAACTTCTCAGGCAAGTTTTACCACGCCTTTCCTTCTACCCTCTAAGCATATGCATGCCTTAAATTCAGCTCTTACCACTTATTCGTCTTGAGTATAGTACCTATTGCATTTTAGTGTAATATTTTCCATCTCTACTAGATTGTGAACCTCTCAAGTCTAGGGGTCAGGTCTGTTTCATCTTTGGTTAATCCTAGAATTCCCAAATATTTAGCAATTTTCCTGACACACAAAACTTGGTTAAGGAAATTTTGTCACATACATGAATATCCCTTGCCCCTCATTTCTTCACCTTAACTGCCCAACAAATGTATCACTCACTCCGCAATTCAGTGATCACAAAGCTGAGTATTTCCCGTTTCCTTCAAACATCCTATTTCTTCTCGTTCTGTGCACTGTGAGAACTTATTCTACCTGATCAATACACCACATCGAGACTGTATTATATGTTGCTTGCATGGCAGTTGTGTTTCCAAAGGGGCCAAAGTCCAGCGATGGCACGTTTTTTTGTACATCTAATGAGCCTGAAAGACTCTGCTGTCACCAGAGCTCACAAATTACACAACTTCATGTAACTTCATGTTGTTGCTTTGATATGAATATTTGCCTCAGCTCTGTTTCATTTTTACTTTATTCAGATCATACACATCCCTTAGTCCAGACACCAACGTTTTCACATCCTTTATTAGTTGAATGTTGCCCGGGTGTGCTTTTCAATCCTCAGGCAAACATATTCAAAGATTAGGATCCACAAATTTCAAATTTAGTCCAGTTATTAACTTCAGGTGATGGAAAGCAAATTTAGATTTTATGAACTCATTCTTTGTTGCCTTTTAAACTGAGACTCATTTTTGTTCGCGGCTGCATCTAGCAATACAAAACCTTGTTACTGAAGAGTGGGTGGTATCAAGTCCCTTTAGCTTCAGTGCGTTATTTTGCTGTTGTGAGTGTGCCTATTTTGTTATATGAAAGTTGTCTTCCACGAATTTGTTCCTATTAGCAATTTCCCTTAGCAGACAAAGCATCCTCATTGGCACTTTTCCCTTAGCACACAAAGAAATGGGGATTGCTTTAAGCAATCCCCATTTGATCAAGAGTAATAAAATAAAATACTTTTCTGACATATTTTTATACATGTGTATCAGGGCATTAGTTACCTAGTTCCATGAAACAGATTACTAAGAAATACTTGAAACTAATTTAATTTGTTCTAAGGTAAAATGAATTTATTGGCCCAGGCACCAGTCAAGTTCGCATGTAGATTAGGATTTAGACTCACTTGGATCAGATCTCCAGCTCCAGTTCTCTGTGACTTTTCCTTTTCTGCATTTCTGTTGATCTTATCTTTTCCTTTAGTGCTGCTGCATTATAGTAACACACAACAAATACTTTGTTAATTTGTAATATATTAACAGGATGAATGCCACCTTAAAGTGGGGTAAACTCATTCATAACCAAGGCAAGAGAAATTGTCGTTTTGAATAACCGTTATAAATGTTACTCCAGCCCTGGCTGGGTTCCTCGGTGGTTAGAGTGTCCGCCCTCAGACCAAGGGGTCTCAGGTTCGAATCCCTGGGCAAGGGCATGAACCTGGAGGAGGCAACCATGAGAGAGACACATGATGTTTCCCTCTCTCCCTCCCTCCCTCTCTCTCCCTATCTCCCTCTCCCCACCCCCTCCTTCCCTTCCACTCTCTCTGAAAACCAATGGGAAAAAAAAATATATCCTCAGGTGAAGATTAACAACAAAAAGTGTTACTCCAATTAGAACATTTTAAAATTTTCATTCACTGTCTTTAAAAATTGTATTTAATTCATGAAATGTGCCTACAGTTGGATTAATTATTATGGCAAAAGGTACGTGTTTATCCGCATTGGCTCAAGATCATCAAGGCCCGTATTTCACTTTCACCTGCCCTCAATAGCCTTCCAGCCTCTTGGGTCCTGCACACGGGAGAAGGGCGGTGAGGCCATTGCAATACCTGCTCATTCTGTCCTTTGTTGTCATTTAGTTATTTACATAATACGCCAGTACATTTGAGGGCTTGCTAATTGCGCTCTGCCAATCTCAGTATAAAATTCTGTAAGAATTAGAACAAAACACCTTGAATAACTGAAGCAATTATATATAGCGCTGCTAGAGATTTATTTTATAGTTTTCCTCCCTCCTCAAATTTTCAACACCTCTCCCAATGTCCTTACATGCCACAGATAACCCTGCTTCTCTAATGAATTATAAAATAAGAGAAATCCGAAAAGGGTTTCCACAGGTTTCTGCCATCGCGTCCGCCAATCTAATTAGTCTGCGCTTTAATCTGCGGGAGTCCGCCTGCCCTCAGGCCACTGTGGGTAAATTCCCCAGGCCACGTTTCTGACCACCTCCCAGTGTGCCCTGAGTCCTGCCCTTTCTTGCTCGCTCAGAGACACTGCACTGTCAGTCGTTTTTCTCTTTCCTGCATCTTCATTTCCCCATCTGATCCATAATCCCCTTATAAGTAGGTTTTAATTCCTATCTGAAAACAAAATTAACTCTTGCCAACAAAAACTGAAAATGCATCTTCAGTGTTTCCCTCCCAATACAATTCTGTTATTATATTCCCTTTACCAAAACTCCTTGGGGGAGTGGCTTATACAGTCATACGCAGCTTAATGATGGGGATCAATTCTGAGAAATTCGTCCTTCGGCAATTTTGTGTGAACAGAACTGAATAAACACCTTTGTGTGAACATCGTAGAGTGTAGGTACACAAACCCGGGTGGTCCAGCCTGTAGCTACCTGGGCTATGTGGTCTAGCCCATTGCTCTGTAGGGGAGGGAAAATAAATGTTTTCTCTGTACTTTTATGTTCTTGGCTTGGACATCCCTGCAATAAAAGACTAATAGGAAAAAAGCAAGCAGGTGTTTAATAACACATGTACCTTCTGTATAGATGGGAGAGAAGAGACCCAGGAAAACTGAGTGACTCACCGAAATGGCTGAAGCCACCACCTTAAATACCATTTTCAGCTGAAGATAAAAATTATTGGGAGTGGGGGAAGTCAGTTTTGGGTAGTTGCCAGGGAAAGCACACTGAAGGAGGGTAAGGTTGATGCAGATTTTAGTAGTGGTCATCTGCACTGATAAGAGTTCCTAGAGATAAGGTCATCATTCCCCACCCCGCCTCCTCTAATAGCAAGGGAGATGCTCTTATGAATGGAGATTTCCCTTACAAATGTTAATGTCTCTCACGAAAGGTAGCATCTACTTGGTTTTCAGATCTTCTCCCATGTCGGCTGTTTCTTAAAATTTACCCACAAAAAAAAAAATAATATTTTTTTATGCTAAATAGACATAATGTCAGCTGAAAATGTATCTACCCTTACAGCCCTTGGGCTGCAAATCTGTCCAGCATCTTAGTGTACCAATACTATATTCAGTCGTAGCACTGTGGTATTTGTGTAATACATGGTGCCACATTAGGGCAACTATGAAGTCACTAAGCAGTAGACGTTTTCAGCTCCATAATGAACTTATGGAATCAGAATTAACAAACTCACTGAAAAATGGGAAGACTGTGTTTAAGGCATATTTTAAACTACTAACTATAATATTTTGATATCTACCAGAGTTCTATGTGAATTTATGCTAAGTTCTATTTAAATTATTCTTGATGTTCCCCAAGTGGGACTTGACATTACACACTGCGTATGTTCCTCCATAAGAAGGAAATGATCCTTTGTGTAGAGAACTTTACTTTCTATTTTCTCCAAATTTATTTAGATTTGAAACCTTGAACTTTTTAAAAATTGTGCGACTTTTTTTTTTTTTACCAACTGCTGTGCTTTTCTTAGATTAATGATGAAGCGGATTGTTCATCCCTCAGACTCCGACAGCATACAATGAATTCTGACAACTTTCTCCCACTCCAGCTCTGAATAACATGTAATTTCCTTGATATGACAAAAAGTACCATTTTAGCATTCATGTCATGCCTTGGTGTTCATTTTTCATTTTTCTGTAAGTTAATGAGTTTAGCAAAGAGTGCCATCATAAAGTTGTCTTTTGCCAAAAGTCCTGCTGCAGCATATGGAGCTAGTGGTGACAAGCTGCACTATTAAGGAGATTTGTTTTAAACCAAGCCTCCAAAGTGTGCATGGAAATACTAAATACGTCCCTGTGTGTTTTGCAGACAATCCTGGTTTGCTGAGCCATGTCACAGTGGGTATTAGAGTTCTGGATGTCAATGACAATCCACCTGAACTTGCCAGGGAATATGATATTGTTGTCTGTGAAAATTCGAAGCCTGGTCAGGTAAGTGAATTGTCTTCCTCTCATTTGAATGTGTGTGTGTGTATGTGTGTGAAGCAGTTCTATTTTTTTTCTTTTTCTTTTTTTATTGAATTTCTTGGTTCATAAAATTATATAGGTTTCAGGTATATATTTCTGTAATACATCATCTGTATATTGTATTGTGTGTTTGCCACCCCAAGCCTTAGGTATACTTGTTAGGTATATCATTGCACTCAGTGAAAATAATTTTATAAAGCTTTACTTTAAGTACCAAATAGATTTTTTGAGAATCATAGAAAATAAATTTTCTCCAGATCCCAACTGTAATTCAAAAACTAAGTCATTCATGCATGCATTCATTATACCAGTACAATTATATTGAATGCTTTGTGTATAGCCCTGTAGTAAATGAGCAGGAAACTGAACTTCTCGGTGCTAATGAAGCTTTGAGACTAGATTGGGGAGAATGGACTGGTGTATCTATTTTGGAGGGCCTGAGGGAGCGACATGAGTAACCATTGTGCGATACTGGTACAAATAGATGATTAGGTTTTAACAATGTGAAGAGTGTGTCCCTGTTAAGGAGACGAGAAAGCAAAGCAGGGAGAGAACTTTAAAACGGGACATGAGTCTGGGTGTATGTTGGCGCCTAGTGAAAGGAGTGTCGCAGTTCTGAAGGAAGGCCAGGTGGCTGAGGCACATCAAAGAAGTGGAAGCTTGGGAGGGGAAGTGCACTTATTTCTCTCCTCTGCTATATAACTAATTACGAAACCTGACACAAGGGGTCCAGGGCCGCCTGTCACTACTTGAGCCAGAGTAAGCAGAGACAAGGTTGAATCATATGTGAGCATTTATTCCATTATTGCCGCAAAATGGGAGAGCAGTCAGTCATCCTGGAAAATCTGCTCTGACTCCCCTCGCCAGTTGGCTGATTATATACCAGGGAGAGAGAGGAAAACTACAAGCAGCTGCGAGCTACAAGTGTAACAGAGAAAGGGGAGGGGAGGAGAGGGTCTGCAGTCCGGCCTTCAGGTGCTCAAAGTCCAATAACCAGGTGGCTGATCTTCTATGATGTTACAAACCGCTCAGCCCACTCCTGGGACCAAAGAGTGGTCAGCATTCCTGAGGCAAACTCCTGGAGGGGATCAGGGCTGGGCACAGCAACCAAATCAAAGTGTATCCTGTCCTTGGTCTGTTCTCAAAATGTGTTTCTTTTCTGAGTAATGGACCCAGCAAGGCACCTTTTCTTTTTACAGCCTTGTTTCATCCCCCAGTTTCCCAGGGTCTGTAAGAAAACTTCTTATCTGTAGTTAGTAAGGTGAATGTTTATTAAACACCTGTGGCTCTATTCTTATTACGTGCCCTTCCCCACTATCAATTACACAAATTTAGTAGCTCGAAACACATATTTAGCATCTCATAGTTTCCATAGGTCAGCTATGTTGTCATAGCTCAGCTGGGTCTTTGCAGAGCTCCCCCAAGACTGTATAATCAAGGTATCAATCAGGGCCGTGTGTTTACCTGGGGCTTGGAGACCTCTTTTAAGCTTACAAGGTTGTTGGCAAAATTTAGTCACTTTCAGCTGCAGACCCTAGAGTTTTTTTCCAATATGGACACTTACTTCACCAAACAAGTAAGAAATAGCTCCCTGGTGAGACACTGCTAGCAAACAGCTTTATATAATGTAATCAGATGCATGATGTATTGACATTTTTGGCATATTCTGTTGGTCAGGAGCAAGACACGGGTTGCCTCCACACTTAAGAGGAAGAGACATCAAGTCATGCATTCCATAAGAACCACCTTAACGTGTGTCTGTCACGGATGAATCTAGAGATGTGAAAATGGTATAGGCCCAGCAGAGTCAGATAGTTCCTTTCATTGTCATTGGTTTACCCGAATGAAGATATCATCCAAAACCACTTTAAATCATTTAGAAGCCTGTGATGAAATTATAATCCTGAGAAACGTTGTCTTATGTGTTTGTGTATGAGAAACATTCAGTAGTGGCTTTCTAGAGTAATCATCGCTTATGTGTTTTAAACACCCCCAGGAGAGGTATTTATGTATATGTAAATAAAGGGCTCTGTTACATAAAGTTTTCTCAGATTTATTCGTCCACAAGACAATTAGAATAAGAACAAAGTTGATGAAAATTATATTTTAAAGTATTTGCAAGTTATATGTTTTAGTCTCTTATCAATATGTTAAGATTATCACTTCAGGCACTTAAGAATTTTCCTGTATTACCATTTTAAAAGCAGCAGAGAATTTTATGGTACAGATATATATTGATTACTTACCAAATCCTATTTTAATTATGTCAGAAATGGATGCCTACATGCTAAAAATTACTTTCTTAACATGCATTATAAAATTACAATTAATGAGAAAAATCTTCAAAATTAAAATAAAAATTTAGATTTAAAAAATACAGCAACTTAATATGGGATTTCAGTTCTTTGTAGTGACAGTAGATTAGACATGGATGAAGGGGAAATGAGTGAATCGAAAAATAGGTGAAAATAAAATATCAAAAAGACAAAAATAAAATATAAGTAAAAATATGAAAGACATGGGACATGCAGTTCTAACATACAAGTTATTCAATTATCAGAGGTATATTAAGGAAGAAAATAGAGCAGAAGAAGTATTTGAGGAGATCATATTTGAATTTTTTTTATATTAATGGCAGTCATAGAGAAAAACAGGCGTGGCTCAGGTGTTGAACATCTACCTAGGAACCAAGAGGTCATGGTTCAATTCCTGGTCAGGGCACATGCCCAGGTTGAAGGCTTGATCCCCAGTAGGGGGCGTGCAGGAGGCAGCTGATCATTGATGTTTCTCTCTCATCCATGTTTCTATCTCTCTCTCCCTCTCCCTTTCTCTGTCTCTAAAAATCAATAAAAACATATTTAAAAAAAAGAATAGAGAAAAACAAAAGGAAAATACTAAACTATTGACTACAAGATAACTTCATCTAGGTGCTTTGAAATAAAATCAGAAAATTAAAATAGTAAGAGAAAAATCAATACTTTTAGAAAAAAATAAATTTAGTGCTAGGCAAAGATTTCTTAGACATAACACCAAAATCCATCCATTAAAAAAATGATAAATTAAACTTGATCAAAAACAAAAACATTTCGTTCTATGAAATGCCCTGTTAAGAAAACAATACAAGCCACAGAGTGAGAGAAGATATTTGCAAACCATAGCCACCTTTGTTAGGTGAAATCACTGAAGCATGTGGGCACATGATACCTAGCCCTTACCCTTGGATCAGTTGATGCTTCTGTTGATGTGAACATTGGCTCCAAAATCTAAAATGTTAGTTTCAGTTGTCTGGATTGAACTCTCTTCATATTGGCCTGTAACTTTGTCTCATTTTGTTGACCCCTCATATGTCCACTTCTTGCTCATGTGAGCTTTTCTTCAGGCATTCTCTAGTTCATGCTGTCCCCTTAATGCCACATTGCTAGCCCATTGGCCATTTAAGCTCTGTTGTGCGTCTAAGAAATTATTTTTGTGACATCGACAATTGCTTTCTTTATCTTAAAATGAATAAAATTATCAAAATTGCAGGGCCCTCCCCAAACTGAGATTCTGAGTATGCAACTCGATAAATCTCAAATTCCTTTAAATGTGTCACCTAATTCTCCTCACGTGAAAAGCCAATTCATGTTTCTTTGTTTTTTTTAGAGAGGACTAATTAGTGAAAATCATTTTCTTTCTTTTGTGGGTCCAATGAACCATTTATATAATAATTTTCTTTTATTCATATAACTGTTACTGTTTTAGAGAGTAATTGCTAGACTTAGCATGCCTAAGTACTAATGTGTTTTGATTAAGCTATGTGATTACTTTTTACTGTTTAAAAACTTCATTTATATTTAGCATCATTACTGTCTTTTATTATTGTATGATGTTAGCTGTCACTGTAAGTTAATTGAATTCTTTATGTTGCTCAACATTGATTGCCAACTCTTTCACCCAAGTGAATTTAGACTTGTCATTCAGACAAGTCTAAAACCATCATTTTTAAAGTATTGTTTATTACACTTGTGTTTAAACTATTCCTTGCCAACCTGTGTGGTCAATTGTACAATTAACACTAATTACAGGGGAAAATGGTCTATTATTTAATTTTGCAGTCTTCGGTTTATTTAACCCTACATTTGTAGCATTTCTGGAGAAATGTGTGTATTTTGACACAGTTGGAATGGAGAACTCTGTTTAAATAATGATTTGTGAACCAGCTTTTTGAAGCATATTTGCATCGCCCAGCTATCTGACACTTGCTTTTAGAATTATAGACATTTCTATTATGGATGCCAGGCATCTAAATATAACAGCAGGTGGCTGTGGCAAAGAGACTGTTCTTTTACGAAAGCAGAGGTTTAAACCACATAACAGCAGAGATCAGGATGACTCAGGTATTAATATAAACTGCTACAATATATTGCTCTGAGTTAACACCTTGCTGACCTATTTCGAGCCAGAACTCGCCTCTGCAGCCAGCTACACAGCTACTTTTCTGCACTTGAATACTTGTGACTGGTCAGAAAGGTGTTTAAAATTTCTTAAATTAATATAAGTATAGGCACGAGGTAACTCGTGACTGGTGTAATGGCTATGGCTATTGAAATTTACTTTCAGCTTTTAGGCCCCCTGAATATGTTATTTACATATGCCAACATTCTCTGCTTCTTAATGTGCACAGAGTCCAAATTTTGGAATTGTTCCCTCTCACTAGAGATGAGAAATATTCCATAAAGCTCTGAGTGGTCTGGTTTTGCCTCTGCCACCATTTTGCTATTTAGATTTGACGCACATCGCACTACTTTGGGGACTCAGTTTCCTCATCTCTAAAATCCAGGGACTGGACCATGATCTCAAATGTTTCCTGAAACATTTAGAAAAAAAATAAGACTCTCCTGTTTTTGCATTTACTGATTGAGATTAACATATATTACAAGACCGTTCTATACCATCACTGGGATATTTATATTTGTACAAACAAATTCTTCATGTCTCTCCAAACAGATGTTCATACAAAATAGTAAAACTAATTGGCCCCAAGGTACTGTGGGTGATAAAGGAAAAAGAAGAAAGAAAAAGGAATGTTTGTGCCAGACTAGAAAATAAAGTGTAAATGCTTATAAGTTGTGCCATAATATGTTTCCTGAAATCAATGCAAATAAGAGCAAGTTAATTGGTACTTTTACTAGATGAATGTGAAAACACTCAAGGTGGAATAAGAGGTCTTTTAAAAATCCTTTTGTGTTAACAACTGAAAATGTTGTAATATAATTAAAATCCAGGGAATAAGCCAAGTTAAATTCACTATATAGTGTTTGCTTTTTCCTTTAGGTTATTCATACCATCAGTGCTACTGATAAAGATGACTTTGCCAATGGGCCAAGGTTTAACTTCTTTCTTGATGAACACCTGTCTATAAACCCAAACTTCACCCTGAAGGACAACGAAGGTGAACACGAGTGCATTTATATTTTTTATCTGTATAGTATCAGTTTTGACTTGACATGGAATAGGCCTGAACAGTTTTGCTATTTTCTCTCATGCCCATGAACAGCTTGCAAATCAGCTTTTAAAGTCAGCTCAATGTTAATATGTTGTGATCTGTGAATAGCTTATATTTAAAATTGAACCATATGTACAAATAACTTTCATTGAATTTATTCAGAAGCATCCCTTTAAACAAGAAATGCACATGTACTGTGCTCTTGGGCGCATTGTAAGAGAAATCTTAGCTGACAAACTTGTTTATGAGAGCTGCTGCAACTGCTAGGGGTGGGAAATTTGTAAATTAGGAAAAATGAAAATAGTGTCCTAGGGACAGTTAAGAAAGGAAATGCAATGTTCGAAATCACCTTGCATTAGTGAGGCTGCCAAGACATGCTGTACAAATTATATTTCCTCTTGTTGTTGTGAATATTGTTCAAAATATAGGTAGACAAATATGCCTAATTGCAGAGTATTGTGGAAATTTTTGAATTATTTTTGTTTAATCTTCTGTGTTGTGTTGGGGGGAAAAGAACACCATAATTTAGTAATCAGAGAAGATTCATCATGGTTTAGATCCCTATTTGGTGGATTTCCCCAGACTGCGTAAAAGTTACTCTTCCTTGCATAGGGAAAACATTAGGTCATTCAATATGCACAACATTCTGATTCACATCAACTTTCTTGTCCCCCAGATTGTCTCTGATCACGTTTATCTGAATGTGCTGTTACTTGGGGTTTCACAGTTGCCTCAGAATCACAGGAAAGAAACGAAGGCATATATGTTTCTGAATAAACGTTTAATTCCCTGTCTGTACTCTCCACGGGGAAGCATTTTCAAACACAAGTTAAAATAATATCACGATAAATGACAATACACCGGAACGTTTTTCCTGTTATCTCTAAGCTTCTTTAAATTACCCCAACAAGGATACCAAATTGTGCATGTGTCCATAACAAGGTTTATATGAAAATTCAAAGCTTGTTTGTTTCTCTCATTTTAACTAACCCTGTGGTCAGTACTACTGATAGCAATACAAATTGTATTTAACTGACAAATTGTATTTAATTGATTATTGTACTGTATTTACATTTGAAATCCCATCCTACAATGCCAAATATATTTAGTGTAAATAACCACACTAAATATGTAAATAATCAATTTGAGTTTCCCCATATTGTAAATAATTGCATGATTTGGGTAGCGTTCAACTTTCTGTCTTAGGATATTGAGATCACGTCTAGATACCCATATTTATATTTCATATATATTTATATATTTATATATAAATTTATATATAAAATATATATTTATATATTTTATCTACATATATTATATGTAGATAAAATCTCAGTTTTTCAAATTTGGAAATATATGGACCCTCACGATAAAAATAAACACTAAAAGCTAAGCACAAAATTGCATCTGTATTTGGATATGTCATTTTTAAACCTCAAAGATAGAGGGAAAAAGTTAACTATCAAAAAGTAAAGGCAAAGTGCTTTAAAAAAGCCACACACACAAAAAAAATATTATTGTCAGTTAACTCTGACTCTAATCGATAAGGTGACAGGTTTTTGTCTTTGGTTTTCATAGTGGTTCTGGAGAGGCGAGACTGGGACTAACGGTCGTATTTCATTAGTCTCGTAATTTTTAGTTGGATGTCATACAGTGTGGAAACCCAGAGGAGTCTCAAATGACAATATATTTCCTCTGAGAACAGTCGTCATTTTCTGTGATAAGCAGTGAAAGAGGGAGATCATTACTTTAATGCGATCCGCACTGAGCTAAGCGAAGGCAAATTTGCAGTTTCCTTTAGGTTCCGTCTGTTTCAGGCGTGTGGGTGTTTCTGGCAGGGCCCTCTAGGGCTTTCAGTGGGGCGCCTGCTTGTGCACCAGGCCATTCACCCTGCCCCTANTCTGTTTCAGGCGTGTGGGTGTTTCTGGCAGGGCCCTCTAGGGCTTTCAGTGGGGCGCCTGCTTGTGCACCAGGCCATTCACCCTGTCCCTAACTCCAGTCATTGCTCAACAGGAGATGGCAACACACACACACACACACACCAGGCCATTCACCCTGCCCCTAATTCCAGTCATTGCTCAACAAGAGNAGGGCCCTCTAGGGCTTTCAGTGGGGCGCCTGCTTGTGCACCAGGCCATTCACCCTGCCCCTAACTCCAGTCATTGCTCAACAGGAGATGGCAACACACACACACACACACAAAACAAGCAAAAATAACCTCCTTTGTTTTCCAGGGCTTTCCAGCTTAGGGTTTTAGCCTCCCGCTAAACTTCCACTTTAAACTTTCAATTGAACCAATGTCCTTCGGAAAACCAGCCATGTGGTTGAGACCCCCCCCTCAATTTCCAAATTAATTACAGGCCCTAAAGACTTCTGTAAAAATTCCAGTTTCCCTGCCTCCAGGTTGGAATTCCAGCCTCCCGTCAGTTCCTAGTGTAAGAAGCAGGTACTTTGTCATCAGCAGTTCACCTCTGCACGCCTTTGCCCCCTGGAGTCCACTCCCTCGAGTTATCCTGCTTTAGCAGTCCTCTCGTGCCATTAAGAAGAATTTCTTGAATGATCCAGCCTTTTCTCTTTTTATCAGTGGGAGTATTGGTCAATCAAAAACTGTTTTACTCGGGCCCACATTTTATAAAGCAAGAGTCATTTGGGAACAGTCTCATTCAATAGTTGGGGTAGAAACTGGGCTTGGAAGAAAGGACACTGTTCAATAATAATCTAATTGTCATCGAGGTGCTGGCTGCCTAGATGTTTGCTGACACGCAACAGATATTTGTTCTTTTTTCTTTCTTTTTTCTTTTTTAAAAATATGTTTGTTGGATAATGACTTCAACTTTATCATTAACTAATATATTGACAATGAAACAAGTTTATTTAAAATTAAAAACCAGGTTCAGAAGATGCTTTTTAAGTAGCATTACTCTAAAACAACAACAAAAGCATAAAATGTTTCCTGATTAAAATGTAGTTTTTCCTGCTATCCCCTACTCTTTAAATTGTGATAAGTAAGCTTTTGACGTTAGCATCAAAAAATCCACTGTATAATTTTGACTTCTTAACCAAATGGCTATAGCAAATGGGCTGCAGCCATGTCACAAAGTCTGTGAACAGAGGCTTACACCAGGAGTCTGTGCACACAATTACTTTGTTGATTCATTTTGTCATATAAAAATATAACCTAATCCCCCAATATCAAATCATTAGTCTACAGAGTAAGTCTGTTTTGCTTCATGATCTTTTATGCTGCCTCTTAAGGCTAGGTTTTATTTGAGGCAAGGAGTTTCGCTAGCCTAATTCCTAGGCTTAATACCAATTGTCAAGTGCATTTATAAATCTCACAGACTTTAGTTGGGGGAAAAAGTAATTTATAATTGTTATACACTTGTTTCTCGGCTTCCAGGGTTCTAAAGAGCACTTAACGTGCCTTTCGAATTTGAAAATCCTTACCATAATTGTGTTGATAATTTACTATCAAGGACATCTACTACTCATATTTACCTGTTTCCTTCTTATATGTGCTTTCTATTTTTGTAGACACTTGCATTTTTAAAAAATAAATGAATCCAAATAACACATTCTTTTAAAAATAATGAAAGAACTGCACTAAAAATTACCATTTTAAACATATTAAACACAAAGTTTTGTAGGCTGTCCTTTTCGCCTTGTAGCAACATTTTGAAGATTTTGTTTAGTTTTATTGCCTTTTATTATTTTTTGCAATATTTCTACTTCTAAAAATTAGGTCATATTATTTATAAATCTTTTATGGCTTTTAGCAAAACACTTAAATAGAAAAATACTGCCTTTCCTTATGGCTATATGAGTTTAGTGAGAGAATATCTAAATTCGAGTTTACATTGCATTGAGTTTAAGATAAGGAACATTTTCAACTTTGACCATGTTTAAAATGTTTCTTTTGGTGTCTTTTCTTTCAAATTTCAGTTCATTTGTAGTGAAATGCTATTATTTAGTTCGATATATATACCGAATACCACGGGAGATTTTAGGGTTTATTTTGTACTTCTTTAGCATTGTCAGATTTGTGGTAGTCAATATTCCTATAGTTTATTTCTGTCTTTCAAACCACAACTCACAGCTGGTGGTGTAATTTCTCTACAGAGCACAACCATTTAAAATTCTGTTTTTATCCACAGGGTTTTAAAAGACCATTTAGCGGTTCATTCGTTCCTAAATAAAATAGCACCACAGCCTGTCCTGAGAATATAGCTGCACATGAAGCCTCAGACGTCCTCTAGTGGATGTGGGAGCAGCTGTGCCTGCGGAGTCGCTCCCCTAGGGGCGGGATGAGGCTGATCTTGTTCTGCTAGAGTCTCCTTTCTCCTCCCAGTCAGATCTCACTCAGTCCTCACCCACAGCATTGGTCCGGTCACACCTGAGGGAACCACAGTATCCTTCATGCAAGGTAGAACCCAAAGCTTCACTAGACACAGGCAGTCTGTATGCAGCCTTGACCCTGAAATGGGGAAGTGTGACTTGCAAGTGTAGTGATTTGATTTGTTTTAGAGGGCCTGTTCCTCTAGAGAAATATATATATATATATATATATATATATATATGTATATATATACATATATATATATGCTTTTCTTATCTCATTTATTTTAATCTCTGCTGATTTATTTTTTCACTTTTATATATCTTTTGCAAATGGGTTTGCCAGCCCATACCTCCTCCCAGATTCTTATATTATAGTCCTACTCACAGTGACAAGAAGAAGACAGCTGACTCATTCTCACTAAGAAAACAATAAGATTAAAAACAAAATTAAAATAGGACTAATTTTACCAGTTTTTGCCACTTTGTTTTGCTTTCCCTCTTATTATATACTTTTGCCTTAATTCCTTCCTTGCTCAGAACCTGGTAAATGATAATGCTGCCTGAGTGCAGGAGTCATCTACTCCACCCGGTGCCTTCAGGCAGGGGGA